ATTTTGGCTTTTATATTTCCAAGTGCTTTCTAAATTTCACTACCACCAATAGCAACGATATATGTACCTATGATTTGCACTGCTACCTTCACCAGCACTTAAGTATTAGTATTTTTCATTGAATAAAGGAGCACTAATTTCATGGAGATGAAATTTCCATGATTATTGAGTTGCATTGATTTTACAGAGAGGAAGGGAGAGTGAGAGAGAGAAAGACTGATCAGTTGCCTCCAGAACGTGTCCTGACTGGGAATCAAACTTGCAACCTTTCAGTGTATGGGACGGCACTCCAACCAACTGAGCCACATGGACAGGGCTCGTAATTATTGTTTTAATCTGTATTATTACCATTGTTATGAGATGCTTAAAATATTTTCTAATCATATTTTCCATGATATAGGTCAGTGATGGTGAACCTATGACACGCGTGTCAGAGGTGACACACAAACTCATTTTTTTGGTTGATTTTTCTTTGTTAAATGGCATTTAAATATATAAAATAAATATCAAAAATATAAATCTTTGTTTTACTATGGTTGCAAATATCAAAAAATTTCTATATGTGACACGGCACCAGAGTTAAGTTAGGGTTTTTCAAAATGCTGGCACGCCGAGCTCAAAAGGTTCGCCATCATGGATACAGATTATCTTAGAGTGTGTGTCTTAATATTTCTTGAAAAAATGTATTTTTTAAAACTCTATCTAGAAAGTAACTTATATCATATTAACTGCAAATATTTTTTTCCAATATGGATTGTTTTACTTTTAAGCTGTTTTTGTAGTCGATAAGTTTAATATTTTTGTATAATTAAATGTGTTAAGTATATTGCAATGTGAGATTTTTCTGTTACTTCAAGGCTCATATAATGATTTATTAAATGTCTGGAAAATATGCACCTTCCCCCATGATTTTTTTTTTTTTTTTAAGAAAATTTATCTAATTAATCCATCTGGAATGTATTTTGGTATATGTTGTGAGATGTGTATCTAAGTTACTTTATTTTAAAACTCTATTAAATTTATTAAATGCACCTTCCCCTTCGCATCCTATCTAATAAAAGAGAAACATGGTAATTGGTGTACGACCGCTACCCTTCCCATTGGCTAATCAGGGAGATATGCAAATTAACTGTCAGCCAAAATGGCAGCCGGCAGCCAGGCAGCTTAAAACTAACATGAGGCTGGCTTGCTTCAGTGACGGAGGAAACCAATGTTTCCCGCCTGCCTTGCAGGCCTCTGAGCCGGCAGTTTGAAACATTTTAACAAATATAGAAGCTAAAAAAAAACCACCCAGAAACCAGCTTTCAGCGAGCTGGGATCTCAGAGCTGGAGTCAGAGCTGGAGTTATACATTGTTTCGAACCGAAACAAACCAGATACCTACTTTCAGCAGCGGAGGCCTAAGAGCTGGAGCCTAAGAGCTAAAGCTGGCCCAGAATAAAAAAAGAAAAAGAAAAAAAGGAGCGGTTGGGAGCTTCCGTCACCCACCAGCCTGAAAACAGCCCTCAGCCCCTCACCAGACTGGCCAGGCACCCCAGTGGGGACCCCAACCCTGAAGGGTGTGTGACCAGCTGCAAACAGCTATCATCCCCTCATCCAGGCTGGCCAGGCACCCCAGTGGGGACCCCCACCCTGATCCAGGACACCCTTCAGGGCAAACCAGCCAGCCCCACCCATGCACCAGGCCTCTATCCTATATAGTAAAAGGGTAATATGCCTCTCAGCACCGGGATCAGCGGAGCCGCGAGGCCTCCAGGCACCAGGATCAGCGTGACAGGGGGCAGCGCCCAAACCCCCTGATGGCCCTGCAGCTTTGTGTGTGACAGGGGGCGGGGCCACAACCTCCCTATCCACCCTGCTCTGTTTGTGACAGGGGAAGGTGCCCCAACCCCCTGATCTGCCCTGCTCTGTGCCTGATACGGGGGGAGCTCCCCAACCCTCTGATCACCCTGCGGCTCTGTGTGTGACAGAGTGCGGTGCCCCAACCCCCTGATCGGCCCTGCTCTGTGTGCGACAGGATGTGGCGCCCCAACCCCCCCCCCCCCCCCCCCGCCCACGGGCCCTGCTCTGTGTGTGACAGGGTAGAGCCATAACCTCCTCATCGGCCCTGCCCTGAGTGTGAGAGTGGTGGCACCCCAACCCCCTGATCGGCCCTGCTCTGTGGGTGATAGAGGGTGGCGCCACAACCCCCCCCCCCCACCCCCACGGGCTCTGCTCTGTGTGTGATGGGGTAGAGGCATAACCTCCTCATCGGCCTTGCCCTAAGTGTGACAGTGGCGGCGTCCCAACCCCCTGATCCACCCTGCTCTGTGTGTGACAGGGGGCGGCACCCCAACTCCCCTATTGGCCCTACTCTCTGAGTGACAGGGGAAGCTCCTCAACCCCCTGATGGGCCCTGCTCTGTGTGTGAAGGGGGGAGCTCCCCAACCCCTTGATAGACCCTGCTCCATGCGTGACAGGGTAAGGAGCCCCAACCCCCCTGATGGGCCCTGCTCTGTGTGTGACAGGGGGTGGCGCCGCAACCTCCCCATCGACCCTGCCTTGAGTGTGACAGGGGGCGGTGCCCAACCCCCCAATCGGCCCTACCCTGAGCGTGACTGGGGGTGGCATCACAACCTCCTGATCCGCCCTGCTCTGTGCAGCACAGGGGGCGGGGCCCCAACACCCCAATCGGCCCTGCTCTGAGCCCGACCAGGGGCTGCACCTAGGGATTGGGCCTGCCCTCTGCCACCCAGGAGCAGGCCTAAGCCAGCAGGTCGTTATCTCCCAAGGAGTCCCAGACTGCAAGAGGGCACAGGCCGGGCTGAGGGACCCCCCCTTCCCCCTGAGTGCACAAATTTTTGTGCACTGGGCCTCTAGTTGTTTTATAATGCTCTATTTTTATATATTAAATTCTTTTATATAACATGTTGAGATTTTCCATACTTTCTTAGATCTAGCCAGTATCAAAAAAGTTAAATCATATAATTTTCTCCTATGATTTGATGTCTAGAATGGCTTTTCCACATTTATGGATTCTTTAAAAATATCCCTTTATTCTTATTAGCTTATTTTTCCAAATAGATTTTATCATTCTATCACTTTCTAAGAAAATCTAGTTGAGAATTTTATTGAGATCATACTCTTACATTTATAAATTAATGTGAAAAGCTTTACTTATCATAATAACCAGAAAGGTAACCTCTCTTTACTAATTCAAGCATTCTTTTATAACTCACTAGAGGCCTGATGCATGAAGATTCATGCAAGAATGGGCCTTCCTTCCCCTGGCTGCCAGCACAGCCTTCGCTCCTGCCAGAGCTACCTTTCAGCCTTCCCACGCTGCACAGAGGCCTGGAGCGGTGCTGAAGGCCTGCGTGATGACGTCAGCATCCCGCCCGCCCCCAGCCACTGGCACCTGCGTATGCAATTTAACCCGCCATCTTTTTTTGGGATTAATTTGCATACTCACTCCTGATTGGCTGGTGGGTGTCATGAAGGTGGGGTCAATTTGCATCTTTCTCTTTTTTAGTGTAGATAATATTTTAAAGATATGTTCAATATTATATAATTAAGGGGAAGAATGGAATGATGAAAAAGTTGAAGACTATGGAGTGGGACAAATATATGTATCTCTAGGTTCAAATCTTGTGTGATTTGGGGCAAGATGTTTAGCTTCTCTGAGCCTCAGCTGTATCCTATGTACATTGAAGGGAGTGGTACTTCTAGGATGGCTATATAAAGCCATTGGAGCATAACATATATACGATAAATGTTAGCTATGATTTTTTGTCATAGCATGTGTTTAGAATTTGACATTTTACAAAGTTCTTTCATGTGTTTTTATCTCATCTGCTCTGTTGATCTTCACAAAACCGTGTTAGTTGATAATGTCATTGTTATTATCACTATTGATATTAAGAAAAAATTGGTAAAATTCTTTTGAGTCAGGAACATAAGATCATATCCTCATAACATATGTAAATGCATTTAAATTACCTACATCACACAATAACCTTGTCCCTAAATATTTTGTGATTTTTCCCATTATAATAGTTGAAATTGCTCTTTCACTATAATTTATTTTTTTATTATTATTTTTTCTTTCACTATAATTTCTATTAGATTTGTTTATTTAAAGGAACAATGTTGATTTTAGTATATTTGTTTCATGTTCAACAGTTTTATTGAGTACCTTATCACCTCTTAAAAATATGGTTAATTCTTTCAGTTTTCTGGGTTGTCATATTTCCAAAATAAATTCTATATTATAGAATCATATTAACATACTCAGCCACTTAATTGAAAAATGAAAAAAAAAAACTAAGACTAGTTATCTATCATGATATGATATATTACAATCTGCCTGTTAGAAACAAAAAATCTATTTATGAGATTATTTATCTGTTACTAGTAAGTTTCCTTTAGCTTGTAGGTTGTATTACTTTATGAATATGCAGTGTGGAAGAAAAGAAATCAAAGAGAAACCAAACATTTTTTTTCTTCTTTGTGGTTTTTAGATATTATTCTTGGCGATGAGAGAATAAAGGGGTGAGTAGGAAAGAGGACTAAACTGCATGTACTTGCACACTTGGGAGATTTTTGCTGTTTTTTTGCTCTCTTAATGCATAGCTGGCTGAGCTCCTTTTCTTCCTAACCTAGACCTTCAGTTCCCCAGAATATTGTCAGGTATAGGAGGATAAATTATTTTGTGCCTTTACTTGTCTTTTCCCATCTACTCCCAGAGTAGAGTGCTTCTTTCAAAAAGTAATAATAAAATGTCTTTTTTTTTCCCCCCATTGAATCAGTTGGTCAACAAAACCAAATAATCCACTGCCAACAGCAACCTAAAGGAATCCACTGTTGCCGCCGACATATTTCATTTTTACTTAATCATGATCTGTTTTTAGGTCAATTATAAAAAAAAAATGGTAATGAAGGCTAAAAAAAATGACCAAGTTGATACAATTATTTTCACTGCAGACCCAGACAATTGGCTTCAGGTACGGATTCTGTACTCACGGGGGAAATGATTAGAGGTGGATGGATTGACACTGTCCCCACTGTCAGCACTTTCACTGCTGGAAACTTCATCATCAGATTCCCGCACGGAGGAGCAGGGCGAGGAGCCGTCAACTTCTTCAAACTTCCTCTTTAAAATTCCACTCATAGCTGCAGCGCTGTCACATGTACCTGGAACAGGAATGGGAGCAACAAAGCGTTGAAATATGTGACCGCTGGATGTGCAGCCAAGGTCCCCAGAGTCATGACTAAGTGGCTTTTTATACATGAGCTTTACCTTGGAAAGATCACCAAGCAGGTTTTCTCAAAAAATATCTTCAAATTAACAAAAATGACTTTACATTAAATATGGGCATTTGACCATTTGCTTACCAAAATGTACCATTTTTGGGGGGACATAGTTCCTCTTATTGGAATACCTCTATTCCCTTTTGTTGGCAAATTAAGAAAATCCACTGGAGTCCATGAAATTCTGTAATGAAAATAAATGCCAGTGTCCCCCAAAGTCTTAAATGATTACTGCTTGTAAAAAATTCATCTGGAAGAAACACAGATAAGTATGCACAAATGCCATGCTCAAGTTTTGAAATGAAAGAACCTAATTAGCTGAGTACAGTGAAGCATATGAAACCAGTTCTAAATTTTAGGTAGTTTCCATTTCAATATTGCAATAAGGTGCAATGTGTTCCCATGATACCTGCTTGCTGAAGCTGTTGCCACTGTTTCAGGAACTATCTAAGGCTGTTTACCTGGGAGATAGCACTAATTGGTGATGGGTGAGGTGAGGGCATGGTTTCTCTTAAGTCCTTTCTCTAGGATGAATGGGCTTTCCCTTCGTCCTGGGGCTTTCTGCACCTTCCCCATTTACCTTGACGTATGTACAGTCAGCTAAAGGACAGAAACTTTCCTTGCAGTGAAAGGATATTTTGGAGAAAACCTATGTATAAATTAGCTTAGACGTATGTACTTGGCTTTACATTGCTAAATTAGATTAACTTATCTGAAAGTGTTATTAAGTCAATCCCATGCACTCTGTCTTCCATCCCATATGTCAGCTCATTTGAATTCTCATTTGAGTTCTTGAAGCCATTCTCTCCTTCTCCTGCCAGAGCGTAGCCATCAGCCCTTTGATCAGTAGGAAGCAAGACCCTTAAAGCTATTCTGAAACCCACTTAGTTACATTATCCAGCTATTGCTCTCAGAAATCTCTGAACTTACCCCTCCTCTGCACAGATCACAGAGCAAGCAGATTACCTAGATCCCCTTAGCTGGGCCAGCTCTTCAGCACCTAATTCAGTAGTTTTCTTTCACACAGGGCTACTTGGATTAGCAGCCTCAGCATCACCCAGGAGGGAGACTGTTAGAATGCAAATTCTCAGGCCCCTCTCTAGCTCATCTGAATCAGAAACTCCCAGAGGGCGGGGCCTAGCACTCTGTGCTTCAGGAAGGCTTCCAGGTGATCTTGATGCGCACTCAAACTGGAGGACCACTTGTCTCATTCTAGTCTGCTCTCCAGCAGCTTCTCCCTGGACTTGTCCTTTCTTGGGTATGTCCACACACCAGCCATAGAGAGTCACATAACCCTGCACTCAATTCTTAGTCAAAAGGCCATCCGTGATGTGATTTCTAGTGAAATTATTAGACATGTATGAGATGTCTCCTAAGTCTATCACTGATTTCAATGTACTCCACTCACCTACACACGTGTTGAGGAACTGGTATGAATATGTTTGACTCCTTGGGTGGAGTAGGGGATATAAAAGGGAGTAGAATATGTTACTTGCCCATCCGCTATGCTGAGCTCCATCGAATTGTGAACACTCCCAAATTCATGTTCTGCAGCCTGTTCTAGTAATCCATGTCTTTTTGCACTTACATTAACAACGGAGAAAACTGATCGCAATAAGACGATATTGCATTGTCCACACTTTTGAGAATAAAATCTTTATTCTTACTCTTATTTTACCACTATTCAGATTAGTATATTATTTTCTCCAGCTAAAAGAGTGTGAAATGAATAAAGTGTTTATGCAAATCTGAGCATGGAAAAGAGAAAGATATTTTAAGTAAGTTCTTAAAATAAAAGTAGGACGGGATATAAATTTTAAAATGGTTCACTTCAAACAAGATGCAAATAAATTCATGAGGTAGAAACTCCAAGACACAAAGTAATACAAGATGAAAACCTATTTTTAAGTACATTTTTATAATAAAATATTGCAAAGGGAACAGTTAAAAACCACATCATTAAGCTTCCCCAGCTTCCTTATAAAGGCAGGGTCCTCAAGACACTAAATTGGGCCACAGGGAACCATGTTCCAATATGGTGAGATGAGTACCTTTGTCACTTCCTCAAGAATGAGAGGGCAAATCTTGGGAGGGGAGATAAGAGAATTAAAAGTCATTTCCCCCTTTGTTATTACGTTTGGAACCTGCAAGACTTTAAAGTTTAAACCATGGAGTTGAAGGTTGGATATAACTTCTATATACATTTTCAGGAGTGAAAAAGCCTAAGCCAGACCCATGTCAAAGGAAAAAAAAAAAAAAAAAAGACACTGCCTGCTTAGAGTAGAATTAGTGCCTATGCTTAAAATAAAAATGTTAAGTAATTACAGGAGGGCATAACCTTATACCCATAAAATTGGTTAAGTGCTAAATTACTTGTGCAACAACCAAGCATAATATCTATCTGCTTTCACTGCCTTTTAAAAAAATGTGAGTGTAACAAGATGTCATCACAAATTGTGAGGGTCAAATGACCTACTGCTTACCAGTATCTTAACCTTGGTTTAGACCTAATAGTGGAGCGGTTTCCTGCTACATCATCTATACTATCTCACTAGGGAAGAAAAGAATACAAGAATTTAGGCAGAAGATAAAGCTGGGTAGGTATTCATTTATTTTAAATGTGAGCAGCTGAAAATCTAAACCCCGATAACGGCCATTTTTGACACAGCTACTGTTTTCCAATTCAAAAAACACATGCTAGTCAAGGGCATCACCATTTCTCACTTGGACTAGGACAAAAGCCTCCTAATTATTTTTTTTCCCCATCCACTACTGTTTGCTTTCAATGTGTTTTCCAGGTTGCTGGCAGAAAGATAAATTTAACATGCAAATCTGAACATGTCAGTCTGTAGTTTAAAACTCTTAAGTGGCTTTGGATTGCCTTAGGATCAAGTCCGAATCCTCAAATGGCTTATAAAGTCCCTAACAGTCTATTTTGGCTAATCTCTTCATCTTCATTTTGAGCCACTGACCCTGTTGTCAATATTTTGGCTCGAATGATCTCTCAGTTTCTCCACCCTGCCATTTCTCTCTGGCAGCTAGGCCTTTTTCTTGGTTCATTTTAAAAATATTTTCCCATAGCACTCACCACTTTCTAAATCCATGTTATTTATTTATGTGTTTCTGCATAAAAAAACAATGTTTATTGTGTATTATTTTTGTCTTTAGCTAAAATATTTAAGGGCAAAGATCTTTGTTTTCTTTACTAGTGTTCCAGGGGTCACAGCCAATGCCTTATATATAATAGCAGATTAATAAATATGTGTTTGATGAATGAATGAAACCTTTCCATTTCCACACTTCAATTTCTCTATCAGTGTCTCATTTCTTCGCTGGACTGAAAGCTCCATGAAGCAGAAATCATGTTCATCTCATTCACCACTCTCTCCTGACTAACAATATATCTGGGTATATTTGATTGAATGAGAATCAAAATGAGAGATAACATTGACCTCAAAACGTCATATATATATTTTTTGCTTGCAAGCAACCTAAAAGCCAATTCTAGCTAGCTTATGCACAAAGACATCTGTTGAAAAGATACTAAACTAGTTCATGCAATCTGAGACAGAGCTAAAACCTAAATGCATTTCCTCTGAGGAAATGTAGGAATAAGGACAGCTTCTAGGATTCTGACTAGAAATTCCTTGATCTTTTCTCTAAAATGCTACTATTACCAAGTTTAAGCCCAACAACTGTTCTCTATGTCTTGCCTTTCAAGTTTAATGTTTCAAGGGGTGAAGAACGTTTTAGCCCACCTTGGGTCAGGTGCCAGGCTTTGATCGTTCAACTACATGACCAGTAGGCAGGGAGCCACCCAATTAGGTAATACTCCAGAGACTCACTCAGAGGCTTCAATAAGTTCAATTGCATTTCAAAGTCACTAGTCTCTCCTTGGCTAACACAGATTTATCTTATTTTTTCATTTATTAATATGGTCCCTGATTTCACCACTTGGACAGCTTCCTCTTTTCCTGTGCCCACATGCCCTTTCTATTGTCAAATTTAATCAATAACTACTTTATTTTAAAACTCTGTGATCTTGGATATCTGTTGTTGTTGATTAACATATAGACTTATTTCATATTTGTATTAGATGTAACCATTGCTCAGGGGAATCTCAGCACATTTAATGAAAAAGTAGTAAAGAAGTATAAATGTTTCCAAATCAAGAAGTTAGATAAAAATGGACATTTCAATGCCTTTGGAAGAAGAATGGAAGCTAAACTTTGGGTAGCACTCTTTTGATATCCCAAATATTTCATAGCTTCCATAGGTAACACATTGAGCTCTTACTATCCCATTTATAGTCATCTAGTGTTTAATCCTTTTTTCTTCTGACATTTGCCCCTATTTCCTGATGCTTTGCTATGTATTTTAAGAAAATGACCACAGGAAAAATGCCTTAAGAATATCATGGATCCCTCAATTTTGAGGAGCAAGTCATCTGATTTGCAGAAAAACCACTTTAGGGTTGCCAGACTTAGCAAATAAAAATATGCCACCCAGACAAATTTGAGTTTGAGGTTAAAAAATACCATTTGGGATATATTTATACTTATTATTTGTTGTTTATCTGAAATTCAGATTTAATTGGGCATCCTGCATTTCTTTTGACAACCCTAACTGGTGCTCTTGGTTCTTGGTGAGAAAATAGAATGACTATGAAATCAACAAATACAGTTACATAAGAAATGCCACCTACCAACTGACTACCATACAAGAATATTTCTGTCCCTAACCAATCAGATTAAACATAGTAAATAAAACATTTACAATCATGAGGGTAAATCATAAATTTATCAAAGAATTTACAAAAAAGGTGACAGGTGGGTGGTGGTTAATAGGTAATGGTCAGGCTTGGCCTATCACTGATGCAGAAA